GCTCACTCGGTACTGGCCATCTGGGGAGTCACGGCCCTGAGCTGACCTGGGGGTAGCTGTGACAGTCCATCTGGGGAGAAGGCACCACAAGGAAGGGCCTCAGGATGGCTTGAGGAGGAGCCGGGTGACGCTCAGGGAGCCGCCCCCCCCCCCAGTTGGTGCCTGTGCTGGGACAGCACAGGGCAAGACAGGCCGGTGTCCTGGTCCCGGTGCGCCGCTGTCCCAGGGCTGTGGTGAGGGAACACAAGGGGGACAGACTTCACCCCCAGCTCTGGAGGAGGGGGTCGAGATTCAGGTGTCAGCCAGCTGCACTGGCCACATGTCCTTGGGAGGATGTCCCCAGGCCAGCCGTGGCATGTGTATGCAGGTCTCTCAGCAGCCAGCCTCCCCGCCCCATCCGCCTGGCTCTACTCCACTCACATGGGGTATCATGTACCAGGCAGCCAACAGAAGGCAGGTGGTGGTTCGAATCCACCAGATTCACCTTGGAGAAAGGGGGTCGTCTCCTATGGTGACAATTTTCACCCTGCATCAGTGACTTTGGGTTTAGTGCTGTCACACCATGGTCAAAGCACTTGGGGGCTGATGGGCAGGACCCTCCGGCCGCAGTGTGGGAGACGTGGTGGTCACTAGGGCAGATTCCAACACTGGGAGCTTCCGGGGGCCTGGTCCCTGCCCTGCAGTTTTGCTAACTCAGACGCGTCCCTGACGGTGAGTGCGGTTCTGGTCCAGTACAACCTTGGTTAACCACTTACAGCCACAGACTTTGGGCCAGGCCCCAAACAGGCACTTCTGGACACACTGACCAGCCCCTACCAGATCTGGCACTACAGTGGGCAGCCCGAGGACACAGGATCTGCTCACCCTTCTCCTTTGGTCCCTAAGGGGTGGTGGGCCCCACCGGGAGTGGAAGCAGAAGCAGGTGTACAGCATGGCCAGAGCCTGGACCGTTAGCTCAGCTGACACAGGACAGGAGCTGTGTCCCTGCCCAGCCTGGCCAGATGGTGTGGAGAGCAGATGAGACGGGGGAGCTGCACCATGGCGCCCCCGCCTTCTTGCTCAAGAAGAACTTCTCCAAACTCTGGGGAGAACAAGTCAGTCTGGCTTCAAGGAGCTAGACATCAAGACCGGAGTCCAAAAGCCACCTCCACCCCAAGGGGCTAGGAGGATGGCCCCCAGGGGGACCTGGGAAGGAGCCAGGTGCGGGCCGGGTCAGTACCTGGGACAGCAGCCAGCACCTCCCTTGGGGTAGGAAGAGGGAGGGGCCTGGGTCTCTGATCTTCTCTAAGACTAGCCCTTCCCTCCAGTCAAGGAGGGTCCTAGGGCCACCAGGAGGAGCCAGAGTGCTCATGGACACCTGAAGATGCCCACTGACCAGGCTGCATCCCAGGCTGCTGCGATGGGCCTTGGCACCTCCCCTGAAGCCAAGTCACTGTCCTGTCCTGGCCTGGAGCCAGTAAGTGGCAACTAGGAAGCTGGAAACAGAGGTCAGTGTGGGCGGCCCTGGGGCAAGGGAGGTGGGCATGGTCATTGGGACCAGACCCTGAGGGGCCAGGGAGGACTTACCTAAACCACGCCTGGCTCGGGTTGCTGAGTGTGGCTCTTGGGTTCTAGCACTGGAGGAAGGGGACACTGGTGGAGAAGCAGCATGGACAAGGTTCTGGTGCCGACAGTAGGGGACACCCCAGTCAGAGAGGGTGGGACTGATTGTGGGGCAGAGGACAACAAGCCACTGAGAACCAGTGAGGGCAGCTTGTCAGTGTGTTCACAGAGCACATGCACGGGCATGAGTGTGCAACCATGTGTGCCTGTGTGTGTGCATGTGTACACATGCACCTGTGTATGCATGTCACTGTGCACACATGTATCTGTGTGTTCACGTGTGCACATGACTCTGCATGCACAGCACTGTCTCTCTGTGTGCATTCACGTGTTTACATGACCATGTTTGTGTGCATCCCTGAGTGTGTCTAGACTTGTGTGCACACTGCAGCAGGGATGTGTGTGTGAACTCTGCCTCCCAGGCACCTGGACTGACACCCTGGGTGCTAAGCAGTTCTAATTGCCAACACCCCAGGAGATTAGTGCTGGGCTTAGGCTCCCCCCCCCCCCAAGTTCTGGCAGCTCCTGGAGATGAAGGCTGGTGAGTCAGCATAGGGCTGAGGAGGGTGACTCATTGCCTGGTGCCTTGGAACCAGCATGGACAGTGGACTTGCCCAGAGGGGTTGAGGCTGGGGCCTTTCCTCAATGAAGACGAACACACTGGGGTCCCTAGGCACACAGGGGTCCAGGCACGTGTGTGGGGCTGAGCAGAGTCAGCAGAGGGCCACTGTGTGAGAAGAGGGCATATGGCACAGGGCAGCAGGCAGCAGAAGGAGTGGCTCTGTCCCCAGGGGCCAGGCCTTGGGGTTGGAGCGGACCTAGGTCTTAGTTAGGGGTGATGGGCTGAGCTCTCCCAGTTACTGACTTGACAGACCACATTTCAAGCCAGCATCTTAGCTCACGTGCACAGCACCTGCAGCTGGAAGCCTGGGGTCTTGGTCAGCCAAGGTGGTCACTCTGACCTGCCCATATGGCCTCAGTTGCTGTGGGATGGAGACTGAGCCCCAGACTGCTGGTGGCCAGCCCTCTCCCTCTCCACTTTCTCGACATGCACAACCCCTCCTCCACATCCTGTCCCCAGTGAGCTTGTGGGGGCAGTGGGTGGGGGGTGCTCTGAGCCTTCACCTGCTGGCCAGGCGGAGGAGGGAGGCTGTGGCTCTGTGATATTATCCCTGCCATCGGGCAGCAGCCTCTTTCCAGAGGAGGCGGAAGAACGAACTCCAGGCTCAGTGCGGGGGTTTGCGAGGACGCTGGGGCGATAATTGGACAGCAATGAAGTGTTCTGAGCAGCGGTATGAGCTGTCACCTGTCACCGCGGCCCTGTGTGCAGCTTAGAGCAGATCCTGTGGGGGAGGTGTCTGGGGGGTTCTGGAGGGTGAGAGGCTCAGTGCGCTGAGAGCCCCCTCCCCTGGCTTGAGCCTGGGCACACATGGCCTGGGCCACCCACCTTTGTCCTGTCCTGTAATGGAGGCTGGGGACGCTTGGTGAAGGGTACCCAGGGACCTAGTTCAAGCCCCTCCCTGACTGCTGGCCACCATGAGGCTGGCCCCTACAAAAGGGGCAGTGGCCCTCCTGACCAGGACAAAGGTCCACCCCCTCAGTCTCCTATCTGCTCTTCCCAGGGAGATGCCTGGGCCACCCGGGATTCCACAGCCAGCCAGGAAGATTCCCAGTCCCAATTCTGGCAGCTTCTGGGGCCTCACACCCGTCTGCTAGGGCCCCTCCTTCCTCCTAACCCTTCTCTGCCCACCCACTCGCCTTTAATTAGAAATACCAGAAGAGCGATTTTCTGGGAGATTTTGCCTGAAAGACATTCCCCCTCCAACCCAGGGCGGAAGAGCCCAGAAGGGGACCAGAGAGACAGATTGGGTGGGGGGAGGGCGAGGGGCTCCCGGTGCTGGGGAGAGCTGGGAGGGGGGAGTGTAGGACCCACATGCCCTCAGGTGTCTGAGCAAGACTGTGTGGGTTGGTGCAGCGAGTGTGGGGCGCGAGCAGGGGGGTATGAGTGTGCACGTGGGGGTACGAGTGGGGGGATGAGTGTGTACGTGGGGGTACGAGTCGGGGGGATGAGTGTGTGAGCGAGTGGCGATAGGGGATGAGGTGACTGAGGGAAGGGTTATCTGTGCCCAGGTACCATCAGAAGCTGGTGCACACTTCCACCGACCAGCTCGGGGTAACCCTGGAAGGGCGCCCTTCCCTCAGCCGGTTGCTAGGCGGCGGAAGGGGCCTCCCTCCCCAGGGAATCTCGCTTCCGGAGCTCCACTCCTTATATGGCGCTGCTGTCTCAGCCTCCGCCGCCGGCGCTCGCCGCCCCTCCCGCCTCCTCTCTCCCCTTCCCTCTCTGGCGATGACCAGAGGCTCTGAAGGTTTAAGGTCGCTACCCTGCAGGGGGCTGAAGACCGTCCCCCTAACCCCCCCCCCCCTGCATCTTGCAAACATTCTAGAGCTGCTAAATCCACAAACCAAGGTTTCACTAAATAGCTGGGCAGGGGGACCAGGAGGGTCCTGTGCCCCTTCCGGTGCAGGCACGGTGACACCAAGGGATCAGGGGCCTGCGTAGAGTGCCCTTTCCAACCCCAGCCACCGCCAGGGTCCTGGGCAGGAGCTGTGGCTACTGTGACAATTCACATCCCGACCCCAGCCACGTGTGAGACCCCCAGGCTCCTCCGCTCAGGGAAGAGGGGCCATGGACAGAGTCCTCTGGTGACTTAACCGCCCGCAAAGCCTGTCCGAGTGGCCCCAGAGTGGACCCCTTGTCCAGCCGCCTGCCCCCTCCGCAAGCCTGGGAGAGTCGGGCCAGAGGCGGGACCCTGCCGCCCTGCTTGGGGAGGGGGCTTCCTCCCCAGGGAAGGCAGGCAACAGGCGGCTTCCGCTCCCCCCCTGCTCACACCGTCGCCCAGCGCGTGGCCTGAGAGGAGGCCCAGCCCCCCGGGACCAGCGCCCGCGTCGGGGGGTCGGGGGGCGACCCCAGGGCGGCTGGCAGGGGGGCGCATCCTCGTGGGCAGCGGCCGAGCCCACCGCTTAGTCAGGCCCGCGCCGAGCCAAGAGTGGGGGGCGGGGCCTGCATCCGCGGGCGGGGGCGGGGAGTGGGCTCGGCCAATCAGCGCCGGGGCTCCGGGAGGGGCCGCCCACGGGCCGGCGCGCCGGCCTATAAAGTGAGCGCCGCGCGGCTAGCGGATCGGGTGCCTCCAGCTCGCAGCCTGCATCCTCCAGCATCCTCTACCGCGCCGCCTGCATCCTCCTGTCCGCTGCATCCTTCTGCTTTCGTAGCTTCCTGCCTCCGGCGCATCCAACGCAGCTCCCGTGGCGGGCGGACTCGGTGCCCAGACGGCCTCCGTCTCCGTGGACCCAGCGCACCTCCCCGCCGGTCTGAGCCGCCGCCCGGCCACCTGCGAGCCATGGAGCTGGACTACATGACCAGCGGCGGCCTCCACGCCTATCCCGGGCCGCGCGGCGCGCCAGCCGCCAAGCCCAACGTGATCCTGCAGATCGGCAAGTGCCGGGCAGAGATGCTGGAACACGTGCGTCGCACCCACCGGCACCTGCTGACCGAGGTGTCCAAGCAGGTGGAGCGCGAGCTGAAGGGGCTGCACCGCTCGGTGGGCAAGCTGGAGAACAACCTCGACGGTTACGTGCCCACCGGCGACTCGCAGCGCTGGAAGAAGTCCATCAAGGCCTGCCTGTCCCGCTGCCAGGAGACCATCGCCAACCTGGAGCGCTGGGTCAAGCGCGAGATGCATGTCTGGCGCGAAGTCTTCTACCGCCTGGAGCGCTGGGCAGACCGCCTGGAGTCCATGGGCGCCAAGTACCCGGTGGGTAGCGACCCGGCGCGCCGCACCGTCTCTGTGGGCGTCGGGGGCCCCGAGAGCTGCTGTCCCGAGGCCGACTCCTATGACTACACCGTCAGCCCCTACGCCATCACCCCCCCGCCCGCCGCCGCCGAGCTGCCTGGCCAGGAGCCGGCCGAGGCGCAGCAGTACCCCTGGGCGCCGGGCGAGGACGGCGTGCCCAGCCCCGGCGTGGATACGCAGATCTTCGAGGACCCGCGGGAGTTCCTGAGTCACCTGGAGGAGTACCTGCGGCAGGTGGGCGGCACCGAGGAGTACTGGCTGTCCCAGATCCAGAACCACATGAACGGGCCAGCCAAGAAGTGGTGGGAGTTCAAGCAGGGCTCGGTCAAGAACTGGGTGGAGTTCAAGAAGGAGTTTCTGCAGTACAGCGAGGGCACGCTGTCGCGGGAGGCCATGCAGCGGGAGCTGGACCTGCCGCAGAAGCAGGGCGAGCCGCTGGACCAGTTTCTGTGGCGCAAACGGGACCTGTACCAGACGCTGTATGTGGACGCGGAGGAGGAGGAGGTCATCCAGTACGTGGTGGGCACCCTGCAGCCCAAGCTCAAGCGTTTCCTGCGCCACCCGCTACCCAAGACCCTGGAGCAGCTCATCCAGCGGGGCCTGGAAGTGCAGGACGGCCTGGAGCAGGGGTCAGAGCCCACGGGGACGCCCCAGCCCCCTGAGGACGAGAACGAGGCTCTCACGCCCGCCCTCACCAGCGAGTCGGTGGCCAGTGACCGGACTCAGCCGGAATAGAAGGTGGCCTGCCCCCCACCCGCCACACCAGCAGGGCCTTTTTCTCTGGACTTGAGAGCTGGGGCCTCTTTTCCCAGGCCCCTTTTGGGCGGGCTCCACCGGACAACTCCTGAAACAGCAACACTCCCAGCCTGGTGCTCCCTCCCTGACACCCGGAGCCCCACCATCTGTCTTCCCGGCGGTGACCCCGCCCCCGCCACACTCTCTGGCCGCATCAGAGCGGCCCAGCTCCCTCCCCGGTTTGCCTTGGGTCCCAGCCCCAGTGTCTCCTGGAGCGGCTGGCACCCACAGAGCCGGGAACACCCACGGTAGAAGCGGAGTAGGACCAGCGCCTTGGGAACCTCGACTTCCGGTGACGCCGCCACCCTCTCCTGGCAGTCGCTGAGCCAGCTGGCACCCGAGCTGCCCCCAGGGCTGCTGGCCAGCTGGGCAGCGCAGCTCCTTCCCTGCAAGGGTGAAGTGACCGTGGCTGGCGCAGACCTGGGACCCGGTGCTCCCGCGCCTCAGGTGAGCCCCTGCGGCACCCCACGTCAGCAATGCAGGGAGAGCAGCGTCCACTCTGAGGGCCTTGCGGGGGAGGAGGCTGGCGCGAGGGGTGCAGCGGGCTGGAGGCGAGCCTCACTGACTGTCTTCTCCCCACAGCAGTGATTCATCCCACCTGAAAACAAGCCCATCTCCATCAGTGATGACTCGGGGTCCTCCACATACAGCTGAGGCAGCAGTCAGCACCCTTGGAGCCAGGAGAATGAGAACAGGTAATGGCAATCCTACTCTGTGAACGCCCTCCCTCCCAGCTGTCCTGACCAGAGATCTTGGGGGTTTTGGCCCCTGTCTGGGATTTCAGGGTCTTCTTGGGTCCTGAGAGCAATCTGAAAGGGACACCCCATCTCCAGTATCCCCTGGGGGTTCCCATCCGGGAGTCCCATCTTCATCTTTAGCGATGCCTATCACTGTCCCCAGCCCTCTCTGCAGGGCTTCGCTGTCTCCAGTACCCCCTTGGGCTCCCTATATGCAGCTTTGGCCCATCACGGTCCCCAACCCCTCTCTGAAGGCCCCCCCATCTCAGCCCTGACAAGGACCATCTTCCTCTCTTCCTTCAGGTCTCAAGGTTCCCAAAGAGCTCGGCAGCTGGACCTGCAAGCCCCAGCACTCCTCCTGGAGCTGCCCTGTGCAGGAGGAGGATTCCCGCCCCAGGGTCCCGAGAGGCAGTCTCACCCACCCAGCCCTGAAGCTGGTGGCGGTGGTGCAGCAGTCCAGCTTGAGGCCCGGGCCACCCTGCCAGCCTCGCTGCTTGCTGCCCGCTGTCCAGGTGCCATAGCTTGAGCGGGGCCCATCTCCGAGCCCCTGCTCGCTATGCTTCACTTCCTGCTGCTGAGCCCAGCCCAGAGATTTCGGAAGTCTCTCTGGGGTTGCTGCCCAGGCCCAGGCACTTGCACACCCCAGCACCCCAGACTCTGCAGCCTCTGAGGAGCTGGTGGGGGTCCTTGCTGCTTCACGACTGGGAGCTTCACATGCTGGGGAAGCCTGCTGACAGTTGCAACCAGCCGGCCTGTGCCTCTACCTGTCAACTCTAGATTTTATTTTTGTACGCAAGATGTACCCCAAACCTGCAGGCCAGCACAGGCTGCAGAGAGGCCCTGGGTCTGAGAGACCATGGAGCCCAAGAGTGTGGCCAACCCCCGAGTGCAGCCCCACCTGGCTGTATGCACCTCCAGGAAGACAGACTCTTTTCTAAGCTTTTGTTAATAAAATGCTCCCACTTACTGGCGTGATGCAGGCTGCTTCTCTGACTCGGGCTGGGGTGGGCCTGTCTGCAGGGGGCAGCCGAGGGAGACACTGCTGGAAGTCCGTGGTGCATGGGGAGGGGCCCCTCAGCGGCAGCAGGGCCTGGGCACAAGCAGTTTATAGCGGAGACACCTCACCACATAGGCAGCCCATTATGTTCTTAGATGGAGGAGGACAACCCTGACTCAGTCTCCTGAGGTGGTCCCTGCAGGCCCCTCAGTCTAGCCAGCTCCCACCTCAGTCCCCTGGAGTGGCCTTTGCAGTCCCCTTGGCCCAGCTCTGCACTGCCTCGGTCTCCTAGGTTACCTCGAAGGTCTCCTGGCCTGGCCAGCGCCAGCCTCAACCTCCTTGAGTAGCCCTTACAGTGCCCTCAGCTGGACCAGTACTCCCCTCAGCCTCCCAGGTGGCCCCTGTAGTGCCCCGGCCAGCTAGCACCCAGCTGCAGCATCTCACCTGTCTCTTGGGGTGGCCTCTGTGGTCCCCCAGCTGGCCAGTACTAACCTCAGTCTCCCAGGGTGATTTCTGCTGCGTCTCCAGCCTGGGCAGCACCCCACCCCTGTTGTGGAGCCTCCAACAGGCCAGAAGGGTCCTCGGAGAGCATGCCAGGCAGAAGTCCTACATGGGGCTGCTGAGTCAGTGACTTAGCCCTGGACTCAGTTCCCAACAAGAACTCAACAGCAATAAGTCTAGTTTTGGAGGACTCCAGGGGGACCCCGTCACTGCAGAATCACTAACTGGGTCTCACTTTCCTTATCTGTCAAATGGGCCAGCTGTTCCTAATGTTCTCCATGCATAGGCCAGAGCTGAGAGCGACGGGCGGACCCTGAGGTCCTGCCTTGCCCCTTCAGTGGAGCACTTGAGGTTCTGAAAAGCAGGAGGTGCAGCTTAGAGAAGGCTCAGGCCCCCACATCGTCAGCACCCAAGAGAAGCGGAGCCCAGCTTCATCTCTGTGGCCTTCCACTGGGTTCTGAAACTGTCATATTTACTGCAGAAGACTGCCCCAGCTGTCCTCCACAGAGCAGCACATGGGTTTGAACTGAGAGCCTTTAAGTTACCAGCCCCGGCATGAGGTGCAATGCCCCAGGCCTCCTTGGGTGTAGTACAGGGAGGTTATTGCAAAGCACTGACTTCTGTGGCTGCAGGACCAGCAGGTTGGGGGGATAGCTGGGGGGCAGATGGGCTGGCACCCTCACGGGGAATTAGCTCTGAACAGCTTCTGCTCTGAAACCTTTTCACTTGGTTCGCTCCGGAATCCCACTGACCCATCACTTACTGCTGTGTCCTGTTGAGTCAGAGTCGACCTGCAGCTGAGCCTGGGGGTTTTCAGGGGCAGCGAATCACACAGGAGGAGACTGTTCATCTATATCCCATGGAGCAGCTGGAGGATTAGAACTGTGTGCCTTTGGGACTGCAGCGCAGTTCCTCACTCCTAGGCCACCCGTGCTCCCTGAAACTCCTCTGCTCGGAAACCTTTTTACTCTATTAGCTCTAGACCCCCACCCCAATGGCTTAGGGATCACCAGTGTCCCTTGTCCTAGGTTAGCTGATCATGGGCTTCATGACCTCCATAGCACAAGGTGAGTGATTGCGACGGGAGCCTGGCAGGGCTCACTGGTAAGACTGACCACCACAACCTTCAGTCCAGCTACAGGCCCTCCGCACAACTGCCTACAATACCCTGAGCTTCAGAAAGGGGTTTCTCTGCCCAGTGGGGCTCAGGCTGCGGCAGCCTGGGTGGTAGTGGCCCTGCGGGGAGTGTGGGGCAGAGGTGGGGTAGGGTGCAGCCTCTTTATTCCCCTGGCACAGTGGAGGCAAAGGAGATCCGGGGACGGGCAGGGCAGGGCCAGAACAGGCACAGCAGCCAGGCACACAAAGCTGCTGCCATTGCTTTCCTGGGAGCCCCTGATGAAAGGCTGCCTCCTTTCCCTCTGTTCCTTTTATATAATGACACTGCCAACCAAGGAGCAGAGGAGGGAGGCACACGATGTGATGCTGAAGCCAGAGAAGCCAGCGTCCTCCTTCCTCTCCCCCCCACCCCAGGGGCCCCTCTCCACACAAAGCCTGGGTGTCAGCAGGCTTCTGGTAAGGAAGGGCTCTCCTCCTTAGACTGGCTGATGGTGACTCAGGCTCCTGACATTTCAAGCTGTTTGAGTGGCAGCTCTGCATGTTTGTGACCACGGGCAGGGGTGGGCAGGGGCGCTGGGCAGGGTGGGGTGGTGTACGATGGGGGCTGAGACCCTCCAGTCACTCTCAGCCCACTGCTCTGGGCATCCCTCTACCCTCGTGGTCACATGGATCTCCGATAACTTTACCTCACTCACTAGAGGTGGGGAAGCTCAGACACAGAGAGGTATGGCGAGGGGACAGTGCTGTGCCAGGAGGTTTGGGGCTCCAGGCCCTCAGGGTCTCCTTGCCGACGGCCTGTGGTGGGAGGCCCTGAATCTGGCAAACAGGACTGTAACCTGGTCTCTGGATGGCCGAGGAGCTCGCCTGATGTCCCAGCGTCCCGTGGCCTTCTCTAGTAAATCAAGCCAGTGGGCGGGGCCAGAACATCGGCTCCCAGCGCTGAGCCCCAGGTCTGAGTCTCACAGACCCAGGCAGTGCGTGCAGGTTACTGCTGGCGGAGAATCAAGAGATGTGGGTTTGGAAACGTCCACTGGTCAGTGTGAGGCTGTGCTGCAGCAGCAAACAAAACCCTCACTGCTGCGGGGTGGGGCCGACTTCTGGCTGGACGCCCGCAGGTGTCCAGAGGCTGCACACTGCACGCGATCGTCCATGTTCTTCCGCGCGCGCTGCCCGCGCGGAGCAGCACAGCTCCTTACCCCCAGGCCTCCAGAAGAGGCCCACCAGCACAGCAGCTCCTTCCCCTGCTGCCTGGCCGTGGCCCTGAGCAAGGCTGGAAGGTGGTGCTCATCTCTTCACCCCCTCCCCAGGTGCTCTGGGGTGCAGAGGCTCCCATGCCCCCTTCCTCCACAGGTTGGAACTGGGGTCTCCAGGCTGAGGAGGGGAGTGCCTCAGGGGGCTCTAGCTTGTGTCTGGCACCCATCACCACCTCCCTTTACCCCACAATGTCTCTACAGGGACCACAGTCACATGGCCACACCTACCTGTGGGAGGCCGGTTGGGAGGCACACAGGAGGCTTGGAGGGGAGCCCTGGTGGCACAGTATTTAGAGCACACAGCTGCTAAGTGAGAAGGCACTGGTTCTAGGTCTG